CCCGCTGAGCATCCTGGGAGTTGTAGTCCAGGGTGTCGCGCATCCCGCTTGGCTTCTAGGGGCAGGGTTGGGTCTCCCTGCACCGCAGATCCGGTGTACACTTGGAGAAAGCTCTACCTCCTCAGCTGACTTGAGTTTCTGCAACTTCAAAGGTGGCCACAGAATGAGTGAGGGGCTGGCTGGAAGGAAGTTATATTTAGTTCTAACAGTTTGCCAAGTAATTTGCATATCCTGTCTTTATACTTAAAAACACATCTTCAAAGATTTTATTAACCCTCATTTTTCGGAGAAGGAAGCAGCCTCTGAGCGATCGGGTGCCTCCCGCAAGGTTACAGTGGCGATGAACAGCCACTTCTATAACGGCATCCAGGCGTGTGGCTCCAAAGCCAGTGCCTGTCCCACAGATCAGGGAAAGGTGACCTCAGGGGAGGGTTTGTCCTTTCACCAAGTTACTCTGCTTCATGTGGTACCCATGATGTGCTGGATATATGCATAACAGCGATTCAAAGCCGTACCATAAGTAACATTTACTGTTGTCACACTGTTCTCTGCATTTTAGATGCATAACTCATTTAACGCCACAGTTAATGTTAAAGATACTGTAAAATTCTCATTTTTATAGAGGAGAAAAACAAGTTGAAAAAAGTCTGCCTAGTGTCACACAGCTTGTTATTTAGCAAAGGTGGGGCAAACACACACAGATTCTCAGCATGATGCTTTATTTTCCAAATGGAAGACAGAAGTCAAGAGGTAAGTGAGCCCTGGGTACTGAAGTCACCAAGCTGTGGCTCCGAGGACAGGACAGGTTATCTTCTTGGGTCTCCGTCCTCTTTCGAGCAGAGCAAACTGCAGCAGCCGACAGCTGCAGACCGGAGAATGTGTAGTTTACAGTTCATCTCGACTTCTTCAGCATCTCCTTTGGGATGAGTCCTGGTCATTGATTGTTTTCGTCTAAGGGAAACACACACAATTTCATTATTTATGACATTTTACTGCTTGTAAGTAGCTTGAATAAATGCTCCAGTGTCTTGTTTTCATTGCTTGTCCTTCCTATAATGACGATTGCATTGATTTTCCTTTATGTTGGATAGAGGTCATAAGCTCGTGCTTCCAGGGACCTTACAACCCATTCTCTTTAAAATCTATTTTCCTATGTCTCTGTCTCTGTCTCTGTCTCTCTCTCTCTCTCTCCCTCCATCCCTCCCTCCATCTCAGGTTTTTTGAGATGTGGTCCTGCTGTGTAATTCAGGCTAGCCTTGAACAGCTGGCCACAAACTTGAGACAGTCCTCCTGCCACAGCCTACTGAGTGCTGGGATTACAGGTGTGTGCCACTACACCTGGCTCTTTTTTCTTTTAGCTAGTCAGACCTGATTATTTATGACATGTGTATTATGATAGTTTTTCAGTCCAAGAAGCTACTCATCAACAACAGAATAGATTCCTAAGTGGTAGAATATTTATACATTGGAATAGTATTTAATGTACAAACTGTAGTTGTATCCAAACTAGATCGATCTTACAGTGCTAATTATTGGGTGGAGCGAAAATTATTTTGGGTTTATACAGAGTTGGGATTTTTTTGGAGCAATCTATATGTAATTGATAATCCTGAGCTAAAAGCAACCCTTAACAGTTGAGTAATGACTACGTAGATGATGAACTGCAAAGAGAATTGTCTAACTCTAGAAGTACTGATTTGAGAGGTAGGTATTTCAGGGGGAATGAGATCCAGTGTGGGAGACCAGATGAGAACTGAGGCCTAACTGGCTTCCTGTGTGAAGTTCAAAGGAAAAAGTTAACACAGCTGAGATACTGTTCACCTGCACATGTACTGACAGGTAACGGAAGGCGGGTGAACCTTGTGTTACTTTAATTGCTTGCGCCTGTGTTTCAGTGAATAAAAGCAGGACGAGCTAGACGCTCAGGGCTCCTCTGCCTGCCCACGAGAGGGGAGAGCCCGCTGCCTGCTGCGTGCTAAGCTGATTCTGTGTCTGTTTTTCATCCTCCTTCGCCCTGGGTCAGGGGAACAAACTAGCAGGACCAGGTCCCTAGAAGTGTGCCCGAGTGGGAAAAGATGCCAGTGGGCTGATGCCCCACAGCTGGCTCCTGGGCAGGGACCTGGGTCCGGCTTAGACAGGTTTGCTATGGTCCAGGACCTTAGAGACATTGCAGGGTTGAAAAGGCTGGAGACAACTGGTCTTATTTGGCTTTGGGAAAGTGTATTTACATTCCGGAAACTTTAATTTGAGAACCCAAGACTCCTGTGGCCAGAGAGCAAAGCTTTTTTTCCTGTAGTTTTGGGAGCAGAGGAGAAGGCAGCGTTCTATTACTTTTATGTACAAGTAGATAAAATCAATTTTTCTTCTGTAAAACAGACTTTTAAGTTTATGTTAGCTTTCTGTTACTGTAACAAATACATGAGATAATCAACTTATAGAGAAAGGGTTTGCTGTTCTTGATTCCCAGTTCTCGAGGTTTCTGTCCGTGATTGACTGGCCCAGCAGCTTTAGGATGTGTGCAGCACGTTGGAGCAGAGCGTGTAGTGCAAGAAAAACAGACCATGTCATCTTTTAGTTCAGCTTGCTCTGCAGTAGGGTTTGGACGGCCGCCCTGAGTCTGCCCAGTCACCTCCTTTGCTAGTGTCAGAGCTGCCTGCTGCACATCTCTGGTCATGAGCTGTCAAGGAGCACACCCCCTCACTCCACGCTACCATAGACTCTTTTTCATTATTTATTTTTATGTATGAACTCTCACCCTGTATTTTATTCTTTCCTAGGGACACGATCCAATTTTGGGGATCATTACTACCCTGAACTTCCTGGTTAAGGTCACTAACATTAATTATCTGCAGATTCTATGCTAAGATACAACAGTGAAGTGTATGGACATATCCCAACTCTCAGGGAGCTTACAGTCGAGGGGAGGATGTGCCAGTTTAATAGGTAAGTGTGACAACATTTCATAAATGTTATGAGAAAGGAAATAGATAATACACAGGGCAAGTACAGGAGCGCTGAACTCAGAGTTGGGAGTTAAAATAGACTACCCCATGATATAATGTTTAAGTGACAGAAGTACAGAAATAGGCTGGCATACAGAAGAGCAAGGCGGGGTGAAGAGGAACAGCATGTGACAGTTCACAAGTGAGTTACTGAAGCAGACTAAGGTCAGCGTACCTGCGGTGTGACGGCATGCCAGGGGAGCCAAGCAGCACTGGTGGCAATGTCAGTAGAAGTACATCATCTCTGGACCTCTAGGTAAGCATCAGGTGTGTAGAATTCACTCTGAAACCAGCAAAGTACCATGAGTACTTTAAGGAGGAGAATAATAAGATCATATTTTAATTGTGAAAAGATCATTCTGGGGAATAAATTTAAGATGAATTAGCCTACTGTCATCAAATAGCTAATTGTAACCATCAAAACAAGACATAGCAGAAATGAAATTTAAATACAAAGACACAGTAACTTAGAAGAAAAGTTCTATTCTGCAAAACTTAATCAGAATAAAATAATGTTGCCTGGGATAAAAGGAAATAATATTTATGAAAAGGGAGCATATCTCAGCAGTAGAGTGCTTATCTAGTATGCATACAGTCCTGGGTTCAAATCCTCAGCACCAGAAAATAAATGGGAGGGTTATCAACATATCAAGCATATCAAGAACACACAATAGTCCTGGCTGTGGATGCCCTCCCTGCGTCTCTGTGTGACTGTTCTTCCAGTCCTGGTCAGTGAGGTGTGTGGGAATGATGCGTGGTAACTTCCACAGTGAGGTGCACTTGCTGGCTGCGCACATTTCAACTGTTTTCTTTCTCTACGTGATTCTAAAATTACCTTGAAGCCACAAGATGTAAGCAGCCTGAGTCTCTGAATCACAGATTAGAGTAGCGCTAGCTGACCCAGTTAAGACACAGACGTGAGCATAAAGTAGCTTTCCTTGTGGGGTGAAGACTTGGGGTGATTTCTCACAGGAATCACCTTCTCCTTAATCATAGCAGAGCACGAAGGACTCTAAGGTGGACAGAGGTAACTGATGAGCCCACCTAAATGGGCACTGGTTTAAGCTACTACTGTTTTGCCTTCCTTTAATATTAAAAATGGTAAATACTTATTTTAGGGTATTATATGATTACTATATTGCTAATCTTTTAAGTGATGTTATTTCAAACCTACATTATCTTTCTGTTGACATTTCCTCTTTTCTCCTCACTTTCTCCTTTCCTGTAAAGTGGACATACTTGAAAAGCACAACATGATTTAGCTATTTCCCATATTCTAAATGTACAACAGAGAAATAGCTAAGTTAGAGTCTTAAAAATGCATGAATGTGTGTCTCTGGAGTAATATTTTCCTATATTTCATGGGCTATTACCAAATAATCCTGGAGGAAAAAATTCTACATTTCAAAAATTCAGTATGTTTCATTATTACAGAGTTTCTCAGACCTTTCGATATGCTAATATATGGTTCAAGGCTCTAATACCAAGATATACTTTTAGAGTTTTCCCAACTGTATAGGTTTATGGGTCTTTTACTTTTCATCAAGCATTTTGTAGTACTGGTTTTGTATAAAATAAACTTTTGGATATGAAGAATTATATTTTTATTTTAAAGAGAATAAAAAACAATATCAAAATAACAACAGCA